GCTGTGGTGTACATAGGCGGTGTGGTATACAAAGGTGCTGTGGTGCACGCAGGCACTGTGGCGTACACAGGCGTTGTGGTGCAGATCGCCACCGACATGCTGCTGCTACCCGTCCTCGGTCATTACTAAGCATTCCCAGACGCCGTCGGCGCGAAACGTGACGTCATCGGCCCGTAATAAAAAAAGGCTCCAGCTGCTTCCGCGCGCACGACGATGAGCGACGAGCGACGAGCGACGAGCGACAACGACGACGACGACAACGACGACGACGACAACGACGACGACGGCGACGACGACGTCTGCGCATCAGACTCCTATGCGGAGTCCTATGCGGTCACCTACGGCGGCAGTGCTCGGAACGCACTGGGGGGGAGCGTTACGTTATAGGGGGGGCGGTGGCCGGGGGCCATGACGACCATCATGCCCCAAGCAAGAAAGAAACGCGCTCTTAGGAGCACCAGTGCTTCTTAGGAGGCGCCGGCCTTGCCTCTCGATGTAGGGCCGGCGACTTCTAAGAAGCAACCTCCTCCTAAGAAGCTTTCCTCCCTCCCCCTACCCCCTTTTATCGTTTACCCGATCCCTGTCCCCATCGTTCCCCACCATCCCACCACCCTAGTTGGGGATATGCCCTTCGACACTCGAAAGGGGCAGTCTATATGCCCATCTAGGGGTGTACATCGGCCAGTGAGGCCCCGGCCACGCCAGTGGGGATAGGGATCGGTTAAACGATCTTCAGAACAGTGCACCGCTACCGCTGCTCTTCCCTCGTTTTCGCCCCGTGGGGCCTCCAGGACGCCCTCGTCGCCACGGCTGGATTCGCCTAGAGATTCTAGTCAGAATTCACGCCAGGAGATTTCGGGGGAGTAAAGGTATCGATGTCGTTGTGGTTCCCCCAACAAGGGCTGCGTGGTCTAAGGGACTCACATCGAAGAAGAAACAACTGCACAGACATGCACTTTCTGAGGTCCGCGTGGATTTCGCTTTGCATAATCCTTGGGGAAATTCCTCTCACCACGCTTCTCAACCTCACCCTCTCAGTGTACGCTGTGCGCCGACACTGTGGGGTTGGTGACGTCCACTTGAACATCATCGTGTGCTTGACGACGCTGTGCGTGACCCTGGTGTTCAATTTTGCGAGCGAGTCGATGGTCAAGTCGATGCTGGAGGCAGAAGCTGCGCGCGGTGTGGAGGTGGCTGCGGACGGGCTACTCTCAAGAGTGTGCGACGCGGTGGTGCACCTCGGCGAGGACCTGAGCATCACGCAGCCGTCTCCGAAGCTCGCGGCGCTCCTCCTGCGCTCGACCCAGACGGGCATGCAGGGCGTGGCCTTACCAGACCTCTCCACTAGCCAGGAGGAGATCGAAGAAGAAACACCGGTATATGCAGACACTTTCGGAGTTTCGCGCGGATTTCTCGGATCGGCGCTGGGGCCCCCCTGGCGGCGCCTCCAGCACCGCCCTTGGCGCACTCCGCGCGCCAGGGGATCCAGCGCCGATCTAAGAAGTCTTTTTGGAGCCCCAAAAGTTTGTGTTCATGCCATTTTTTGTTCCTCAAGCAGAGGGACCGCCTGCGGAGCTTTCTGCGCCGCCCCACTGAGGGTGCTGACAGCTTGAACACGTCGTTCAAGGGCCCCAACGCCACCACCGTGAACGTCCGACTCTATCACATCAGAGGCCGCCACCTGGACAGCAAGATCTTCCACGTCGTGGGCGTGAGCGAGGCTTCCGAGACTGAGGTGGTGGCGGCGTCATCGGGCGGCTCCAGGAGCCCGTCTGGCCTTGGCAGCCAGAGCGTCTGTCCTCTGCGAGCGTTGGCGCTGTCCGTGTCGGCGCGGCCGCCGGCCCGCGCGTGCGCCGTTCAGCTCAAGGATCGGGGGCCCGAATACCTTGTGGTTGGCGCCCCGCGGTGACTTCGGAATTCCCGGCGACCTCACTGTTTGGTCCGTCACCGCAAGGTTTTGGACCGCGATCGCCCTAGTTGCCCAAGACGTCCTCGGAGAACGACCCGAGTCTCAAAACCGTGCAGTGACCCCGAGTCCCCACTGACTCACCACGCGGTGTGGTCACCACACCGTTTGGGGGCCCCGACAGGAGGTCACCACCGTATACTTCCATCCGATGGAGTCCGGCTACCCCATCGTGGCGTCCGCGCGCAGTGGGCTGCCTGCTCCCGGCGACAGCCTGCTGAGCTGGATGCCCGGGAGCGCGGACGAGTTCATCGAGATGGTGCAACAGGTGGTGTCGGAATGGCACATGCACCTCGAATAACAGATAGGGGCATGAGACCCTTTTGCTCTCCCATGGCAATCGCCTGCGTTAACAGGGGAGGGGGGAGGTGGGGGGGAGGCCGGTCACGTCACGATTCGCGCTGTTGCCGTCTGGGAATGCTTAGGGTGGCCCATTCCCAGACGGTGCTGGCGCGAATCGTGACGTGACCAGGGGCCGGGGGGGGGAGGTGGGGGGCGGTGCCAATCACTGGCGTGATCGCGACTCATATAAAAATGGGTTCCAGGTGGTGACGGAGTGGCACATGCATCTCGAAGAACAGAAAGCGGCATAAGCATCAACTTGCGCAGGTCCGCGCGGATTTCTTGGATCGGAGCTGGACCCCCAGACATTTTCGCGTCGTGAGCAAAAATCGCGACGGGAGGTTGTTGGTCGTTTGCGGCCTCCGGGGTCCCTAGTTGGACCCCAGAACCGTCACAAGACGGCCCAGAACGAAGTGCCAGCCTCAAGAAATGGGGCGGGACTTCTGGGGACCCCGCACTGGTAAACCACGACGTCACGCGTCTGGGCCCCCCTCCCTGGTGCGCGGAGCGCCAGTGGCGCCGCCGGGAGCGCCGCCAGGGGGGCTTCAGTGCCATCAAGGAGTCCGCGCGGAGCCCCAGAAGTTCTGCTTATGCTCACGAGCCGCGAACATATCCGTATCCGCGCCCTCATGGTCTGGATTCCGGGGCGCGATCCCGCGGACACGCCGTCGCACAGATACGTTCCGCGTGAGGCATGCGCGAAAAAATGTCCCGCGACCCCGCTGGCACAGGGGCCCAACCCGAGAGGCCGCGGATACGGATATGTTTCTCGCCCGCAATTTGTCGCTTTTTGTTCTTCTAGCGTCGCGCTACGCACCCGCGCCGGTTCGCGAGGCTCTTGCTGAGGCCGCCCCGCGCGAGGCAGACGTGGACGGAGCTGCGAGCCGACGCCGAGCTGACCATGGACCACAATGCGGAGGGCGCCGCCGCCGGCGCGTGGACGGTGCGGGCCACCCTGCGCGGCATGGAGGAAGTGCAGCGGCAGCGCGGCCAGGGGACCTTGGGGACCCCCCCCCTCGCGGGCGCGCGACCGGCGGCGAGGACGTGGAGCTCGAGGAGCAACAGGGGGGCAAAGGCATGCGGTAGGTTCGCGGATTTCTCGGATCTGCGTTGGGCCCTTTTGGCGGTGCCGCCCCTGGCGAAGCTCTGCGCGATCTGGAGAGGTGGCGGCCCCAGAACCGATCCCAAACAATCCGAGCTGAGCTCCGACAGTTGATTAGTTGATGTGCGAGTGCCGCTTTTTCAGGATTGACAAACAGACGCAGACGCAAATCAATGCGGATGTTCAGGATAATATTGGAGAACATGGGACATCGAGGCGAAGCGGACAATCCAGGACATACGAACACAAGTATGGGGAATCCTGGGATGTGGAAATATTCAGTTGTGTCTTCTCGGGCCTTCTGCCTTCTTACAGCCAAGACGCAGACAAGAGAACCCATTTGGGTTCAGGAGGAGCTTAGGCTTTCAGGGCGTTCCTTAGTTCTAGGCTGGGGAACCTGTTCGTGGCCGAGGCTTGTCGTGGCCAGAAGAGCCGCCTCGTTCTGCACTCAGCGTTCCTCATGGTACGTTTCACGCTGACTGCTCATTTTCCCAACCATCCTGTGGTGTTGGGTCCTCGTTTTGAAGAGACAGCGCCCCGCGTCCCTCCTCTCCTCTCCTCTCCTCCTCCCCTCCTCCCTCCTCCTCGTCATCGTCACGCAACCATCCTGTGGTGTCGGGTCCTCGTTTTGAAGAGACGGTGCCCCGCGTTCCTCCTTCCTCCTCCCCCTCCTCCTTCCGCTATCATCGGCATCATCATCATCATCATCATCATCATCATCATCATCATCATCATCATCATCATCATCATCATCATCATCATCATCATCATACAGCGACTTGTCGGCATTTGTGGGTGGCCGCACCTCCTTGCTCAAGTTCTTGAGGGAATGCAGGCATTGTTCGAACGCCTCACGCACGATCTCGCCAGTGCCCTCTCCACAACTCTCATCGTCCGAGGCAGTTCGCCTCCGTGTCCCGCCTGCGATTGCGTGTGCTCGCCCGCGCTGCACTGTCCCTCGCTGGAGTGCCGCTGCCCAGGCGGCTTGGGTGCGGTGACCGCCGCCCCCTCGGAGGCCGAGGCCTCGGGCTTCTCGGGCACCGCGCTGGGCAGCTCGCTGCTCCTCGGCGCGCTGGGCGGCTGGTCGCTCGCCCGCTGGACCTCGCGCCGCGCGACGCCCTCGACTCGGGGTAAGCCGTTCGCGCTGGAGGCAGAGGTGCGCACGACCGACTTGGCGGCGGAGGCGGCGGCGCAGGCTGCGCGCTTACGCAGAGCGTCGTCGTGATGGCGACGCCCGCCGCTGGCCAGTTCCACCTGGTGAGGTACAACGTGGGAGGCCCAGCGATATACCACGAGCGCTTGACGCTGTTGCCTGGGTACATTCTCACGCCCGACGGCGATGACTATGCTGAGGCCGCCATCCCGAATCACGACATCCGATCGATTCACATTCTCAGTGGCCAAGGTGAGGGGCTTCCAGGGATACCGCCTCAGCATCTATATCAGTTTCGGCACCTGCCTCGGGCCGCTGAGGTGTGGGCGGCACTTCGCCGCGCGACGGCCCAGGGGTTCGGAGCGACGCCTGCGTCGCCTTTCTGCATCGACCTGAGTGCCACCAACGTGCTGGGGCTGGCCGCTGGCGCGTTGCCGCTCCCCGACCCTGCGGCCGTCGCGCCTGGCGCGGGCGCTGGGGCCCTGGCGCCTGCGGGGGTCCCTGGGTTGCCTGGCGGCGCCGCCCCCGCGGCGGGCGCCCTGCCGGCTGCTGGTGCCGCCGCCGCGCTGCCCGCCCTCGGCGGCCCTGCAGCTGCTGGACCCCCCGCTGGAGCTGGTGGAGTCGGCGCCTTGGCGGCTGCCCTCGGTGGCGGAGGAGCTGGAGCGCCAGCCGCCGCGGCTCCAGGGCCCGGTGCCGCGCCCGCCGCCGCTGCGCCGCCTCTCGTCGGAGACCCGCGGGTGATGGCGCTGGTGCTCGACGGCCGTGGCTTTCGGGACATCAGCTTCAGCGACGCGGTGAAGCTGCAGACGGAGACGGGCGACTGGCCAGTCAAAGGCCCTCGGACGCTGCTCTGGGTCCTCGGGCTCATGCTGCGCATGGCTGGAGGTGCTATGGCATGGCACAACAGATGGATTGCGATGATGCAGCTAGGAGAATCCGACGAGAACGTGAAGCTCCACGAAACCTTGCGCCGCCTCTCGTCGGAGACCCGCGGGTGATAGAGACCGCCCTCTGCCACGACCAGCTGGTGATATGCGAGCTGGCCTCGCACGAGTACCTCGCCCGCCCTCTGCCACGACCAGCTGGTGATATGCGAGCTGGCCTCGCACGAGTACCTCGCCCGTCAGCTTCAGTTGGTAGAGGAGCGCGCGTTCGAGGAGCGCGCGCGCAGGAGCCAGCCCGTGCCGAAGGCCCAGGCTCAGGCCAAGGAGCTGGGGGCTGCTGACTTCGGTTCAGAGGTCGGCCATTTCCTCAGCACGGGAGAGACGAAAGGGAACTTGTGTATTTGTCCTGCTTTGATGGATTGGGTCGCCGATCAGGTGAAGATGGAATCAGCTAGCTGTCGCGAAAGAACGCCGCAAGGCTCGTGAGGAGCGAGCCTTGCGGGCGCCATGACACTCCCTCAGGACCCTGGCCAGGATGGGCCTCACGAGCCTGTTCCCGTTGCTCGTGAGCCTGGCCAGGATTGCCCAGAGGCCCTCGTGCCTCCGCCTGGTCTGGGCGCGCCCGCACGTGGTGCCGATCGCCAGCGCGACGTTTTTCCGCTACCTCGTCTTCCTGTGGATGGGCGCCGCCATTTTCCGCTGGGCCGCGCTGCTCGTCTGCGCGCTGTCAAAGGCGCGAGCTGGCGCGAGTGGTGCGACGAGGGGTTCACCGCTCTCAACTGGCCCCATAGCGGCCGCGACGCGGGGCACCTCCCGCAGGTCGGTGGCGACCCGCCCGCCGCGCAGGCTGCCTCGGTGGACTACCTCTCGAGCCTGTATCGGGAGTTCGAGCTTCCTGCCGCCTACTCGTAGAGGAGCAGCGCCTGCGAAGCATCCCTGGTAGAGATGCTCGCTCAGGCTCCTGGCTGCGCTGGTGACAGCGGTCGGGTCCGCCCCTACAGCCAGCCCCATCGTGGCCTGGCCCAAGTCGGCGAAGGCTGTGTCCACCTCCGACGTCGTCTCGGATGCCGACTCCATCGCGCTGCAGGGTTGGAGGCAGACTACGCTGAATTCCGAGTCGGTTGCTGCGGAGCTCCGCGACGCGCTGGGCATGCAGCGCCCGTGCGTCGATCCCGAGCTTCGCTATCAGCCTAAGTCTTACGCTCAGTTTTCGAAGCAGCTGGAGGCTCACGACATGATATCATGGAGAGCCGCCAGTTCCCAGTCTGCTCACACAATCGGTTTATTCTTCGTGGAGAAATCCAATCACATGCTTAGGCTCGCGTTCGACACTAGGCTGGCTAACTGCAGCTTTGCCGCGCCGCCAGCCACCAGGCTTCCCACGCCCAGTGCGTGGGCCAGTGTCGATTGCGACGACAGCGTCGTTTTTGCACAAGGCGATATTCAATGTGCCTTCTACCACTTGCGCTTGCCTCCAGGGATGGAGTCGCTGTTCTCGCTGCCCGCGATCTCCAATCGTCACATCGGCTTCGCATCGATCAATGGGAGCCCGTCGGTATCAACGATTTTGTGCAGCCATTGGTCACAGTTGTTCCCATGGGTTGGAGCTGGGCCCTTCACTTTTGTCAGAGCGCCCTCGTTCGTGCCTTAACCGACTCTGGATTCGACAGTGGTGACATGATCGTAGACGGAGGATGCCCCCGTAAGCTAATCTCTAACACCGACGCCATATGTGCTGGATACGTTGACAACTTCTGCGTAGTGTCAAAAAAAACCCTGAGATTGCCATTCGCCGTGCTCGTGAGGTCGCCGACCTTCTGACGTCCCGAGGCTTGCCTGTCCTGGAGTTCTCGGAGGCCGTCAGTAAGGGTGTCTTCACGGGCTTGCAGATTGACGGTCTCTCGGGTGTCGTTCGAGTTCGGCCCGGTCGTCTCGCGCGTACGCGGCAGGGTGCGCTCGGACTCTTACGACGTGGTCGGGCCTCTGCGGGGGCTCTCAGCGCGCTGGTGGGCCCACCACTGTACTTGGGGTATGATCTTGAGGCGGGATGTCTTGGCGATCTTCAACTCAGTCTATAGGTTCATCAACGTGGCGGGCGCCCAACCCGCGCCTCTTTGGGATGCCGTTGTGAGGGAACTTCGAGCTGCAGTTGCCTTGATCGCCCTCTGGAGCGCCTCTACTAGGTCCAGGTGGTCGTCTAGGGTCCACGCGTCTGACGCGTCGACGTACGGGAAGGGCGTGTGCGTCAAGGTGATCCCCCCCGGCCTGGTCTCAGAGGTTGGCCGCGTGGCCGAGAAGTGGAGGCGCCGCCGGGGCTCCAGTGCGCTCGCGAGGTCCCACGCCTTCAGCCCTGTTGAGCCCCATCAGGAGGCCGCCGACCGTGCTCCTCCTGCCGCGCCGCTGCCTGCTGCTGCTGTGTCGTCGTCGACTACGTCTAGCTTCTTGGAGGTTCCCGAGGCTGTCTTTGGGTTCGACGGCGGGGAGACGATCCACTCGAGCAGACACACGCGGTTTGGGTGTGATATTTTGCAGTATGAGGCCGAGGCCTTGGGGTTCAGCATTCACCATGCCTCGAGGACCCTCGGGGTCCACCATCATCGCATGCTATGCCTCGTTGACAACTTGGCTCTAGCCCTCGCTGTTGGCAAAGGGCGGTCGGGGAGCCCGCGTCTCGTGCGCGCGCTGAGGCGGCTCTCTGGCGCCACCTTGGCACGCGGGCTGCGGCTGCTGGTCCGATGGGCGCCCTCTGAACGGAATGTCGCCGACAAGCCGTCGAGGGAGGGCTTCTTCGTCGGGCCGAGCTTCGAGGACCTCCTGGAGGGGCAAGTCGCGCGGCGGCCTCGCCGGGCCCAAGGAGGTGATCAAGACCGCGAGGGCTCGGAAGACCCACCCTGGGCCCTCCAGTCTCTCGCGAGGGAGTCTCTCAGTGCTGGAGGCGTCAGCCATCTCGGCCTCCACAGGCAGGAACTATCACGATTGCGCCCAGAAGTTTCTGAGCTGGTGCCTGTGGACCGCGCGGGACTTCTCCTGCTGCGCCGACCTCGACACCGTGCTGGCGGTGTACTTCGTGCATCTGTTCCTGGACGGGTGCGACAGCGCGACGGGCCGCGCCACGCTGGCCGCCCTGAAGCACCATCTCCCCTCGATGCTGGTCGGGGGTCGGCCGCTGCCGCGGGCGTTTCGGGCGCTGCAAGGGTGGGCGAAGCTCGTCCCGCCCCAGATGCGCCTTCCGCTGCCTCGGGCGGCGATGTTCGCGATAGTGGGCGTCCTCCTGGCGCAGGGCCGCCTGTCAGAGGCGGTGTTCGTGCGCCTGGCCTTCGACACGTACCTCCGCCCGAGCGAGGCCGACCGCCCCGCGGCCGCCTCGCTCATCGCCCCGCGCGTCGGGTCGAGGGGCGGCTACCGGCACTGGGCCATCCTGGTCAACGATGCAGCCAGCGGCAGACCTGGCAAGACGGGGGTGACCGACGAGAGCGCGATCGTGGACGACCCGTCGTTGTGGCCGCTGCTGGCCGCGCTGCGCGACGGGAGGCGGCCCGAGGCGAACCTGTGGACGTTCTCGCCCGAGCAGGTCCGCCAGGCCTTCCGAGCGGCGCTGGGCGGAAGAAGAGGGAAGAGGAGGAGAAGGAGGAGGAGGGGAAGAGGAGGCTGAGAAGAGAGGGGGAGGAGAGGAGGAGGAGGAAACGGAGGAGGAAGAGGATGAGGATGAGGATGAGGGAGAGGGGAGAGGGAGGAGAGAGCAGGGAGGAGGAGGCAGGAGGAGGAGGCTCGCGAGCTGCCAGCTCGGCTGGAGTCGTGCGGCAGCGACCGCCTCTCGCTCTGGGCTGGAGTCCTCTTGTGCGAGCTTGGGGCCCGCCCCTCGCTCCGGGCCGGAGTCCTCTTGTGCGAGCTTGGGGCCGTCTTGGGGCCTCGAGGATCGAGGTTCGGGCTTTTTGCCATTCGGGGGGGCCCCTCGTCACCGCGGGTGGACGCGGTCCGGAAAACTGGCCAGCTTGGACCCGGGAGGGGTCCGAGGATCGATTTCGAGCGGGGGTTGGCCCAGGGTGGCGCGAAGGGGGTGGCCTTCCAAGAAGCCAAGGGGGGGTTATTGGAGGGGCTAGCAACGCAGCTAACAAGGCTTTCCGTAATGAGCCACTTGTGCGCAAGACGGCTTCACCATCAACTAACTGGCGTTGTTAGTGTTTCTCTGCCAGCCGACCGCGCTTCGGGATGAAACGGAGCTTATGGGAACAAGTCCGCTGGTTTGATGAAGAGGCACCACCTGATCGTGACCCAGGTGAAAACTTGCCAAGGTTGTGGAGATATTGTGCGCGTTGGTAAGATTGCAGCGCATGGCATTCCACGTAGCGACAAGCAGCTAAAGGTTTCTGACGAAGAATTACAACACTTGCTAAGCAAGTGTGCTCGAGCGCGGACATATCTTTATGCGACGCCGTTCTTTTCATCAAGTCGTGTATGTGCGGGTTTGACCACATATTATGGCAGTGTAGAAAAAAAACTACGTGCCATGACGTTCACCGACGCCGGTCGGCTCAAGTTGTGTTCAGATATCATTAATGTACGTAGAACCGTTGGCTTGCAAACACCCGCGACGCAGACATATTCACAATGGAACAGCGCAGTGCTTTGGAGGCTCACGACGCCTTCGCAGCAAAAACATAATTTCTGGAAGACTCACGCGTTCTTTATCTGAACGCGTAGTTGTTGAGGTCTGCCCTTTCAGAGCAATCAAGAAACGCCCTGGCCACGAATGCCTTCCCATTCTTCCATAACGATGTCTTCTCTCCAGGCATGGATGCTTTTCTGGACAAGATTACTGACGTTTTACTGGATCTCCTCAAAGCCACGTCCTTTGCCCCGCATGGGCGGGCCCTGATGCCTTTTCTGCAAGCTGGGTGGAGAACCGCGCTCTGCATCTCAAGGTTGGCCATGACGTGTGCGCACTAGAGGATGCATAGGTGTCCGCAGCTACTCTTGCCGATTGTTCATGGTGCGATTTGACGTCGCCAGCGAAAACGGAAGCCATCATTGCTGGGGCGCCACACTTTGGTATTTTCAGATCGAAAGAAATTTGGATTGATGCTGCTGAAATCATGCTGAAGAACCCGGACTGGTATCGTCTCTCATGCGGATCCGGCTCCTGGAGGCGCTGGGCGTCAAAAGCGGCCTCGTCAAGGATGCCGAGGGGCAGATCGCGCGCGTCGTCGGGGGCCCTCGGGATCGCGGCGACGCCGAGAGGGCCGAGAGAGACGGGGGGAAGAGGGTCTATCTGAAGCACTTGCCGTTGGGGTTCTGGGCGCGCATGGAGAAGCGCGCGAGCGCGCCCTTCGTGGGCGACCTGAAGCGCCGCGACGACGCCCCCACGGGGGACCTGGCGGGCGGTGTTCATCGAGCCTCGCACGTCGGAGCCGTTCATGTTCCGCGCCTCCAAGGCCACCCGGGCGGGCTTCCCGTTCTCGCACGGCAGGGTCACCACCGCGGTGGCGCGCCGCGGGCGCGCCCTGCGAGAAGGCGACGGGGCGGGGGAACAGCGCCCCCCCCGGCAGTCCGCGGCCAAACCTCCTGGGCACCAGCGGTCCGCAGTAATATTTTTTTTTCGGTTCTGTGGACTCTCGCCTTGGGCCGTCGGCTGCCCCGCGCGCCGCCCCCTCGGCCGACGTCGCCCAGGCGTGATCCTGGACTGCGGCCGCCACGAGATCGAGAACGGCAAGAAGGGCGACGACGACTGGCGGCTGGAGCGTTACGCGCTGCTCTCGCGCGCCACGCGCCACGAGGACCTCCTGCCCACGCGGGCGCCGCGCATCGAGTTCTTCCTGGCGGGGCCGCCGGCGGGCTTGCGGAAGCAGTTGGAGCAGTTTGCTGCGCGCGCGAAGCGGCGCAGGAGGGAGGCCGCGACCCTCGCCAGGGCGCTGGGCTTCGCCGAGTTTATCCGCGAGGCACGACCTGGGGAGCGGCCCGCCCGAGCCGCGCCATGTCCAGGCTGTCCAACAGTTCGGCTGGGCGCCGCGGACGACCCGTGCGCGTCGCTGGGGCCCTCTCGGGGCGACCAGCGCGCTTCGCGGGGGCTCCGCGTTGCGCGCTGTCCACCGCCTCGTTCGCCCGTCGTCGTTCTGCCCGGCGGCCAGAGCCTCGCCCGCTCTCAGCCAGCCAGCTAGCTCGCTTTGCTCCGCGCAGCGGACGACCCGCGTGCGTTGCTGGGACCCCTTCGGGTCGACCAGCGCGCGTCGCGGGGACTCCGCGCTGCGCTGCGCCCGCAGCCTTGGGCAGTGGGGTGCGCGGGCAAAGCGGGGGAAAAACAACGGGAGGAAGCGGGGGCGATCCACGCGAGGGGGGCGCCGACATGGGCGTCGAAATTCATGCGCGTAGATTCCCCCGCGCGCATATTCATACACAGTCAGACCCACTCGTGCTCAGGCTCACCCGTTGTCAAGCTCTCGTTATCAGACCTATCGTCTTCTTCCGCGCTGCGTTCCCCGCCATGCATCGGCACGCCCCTCGCGCGGTTTTTGGCGTCGCAGGGAGTTCCACCGAAAACGATATTCACAATTGCGGAAGGCGATATTCACAAGTGCGGCGCTCTCAACTGCGCATGGTTGGGTATTTCGCCAGTTTTTTTTTTTTTTTTTTTTTTTTTTTTTTTTTTTTTTTTTTTTTTTTTTTTTTTCCCCCCCCCTATCCTTTTCTTATATATAGCATAACAATAATACTAATTCAACAAAGTTATTCTATACATATGTATTATATATAATTATCTCTCTCTCTCTCCCTCTCTCTCTCTCTACATATTCTTTATCGTCCTTTGTGTTTCTTCTCTCTCTCTCTCTGTCGAAGAAGAAAAAGAGCAGTACTAATGACAGTGAGACAAAGAATACGAATAATAAGAAGAATAATAAACATATAAACATACTAAGAATAATGAAAACAAGAGGACGACTGGGAAGAAGAAGGGGAATAATCTGAGGAGGAGGAGGAGAAACAATAAACACAATACACAACTATATGAACAAAAACTTTTGGAACACCGTACAGGTTTCTTGGATCTGCGCTGAACCCCCCCCCTTCGGCGCGCGGAGCGCGCCATGGGGGCCCCTGTCGCAGATCCAAGAAATCCGCGCGGACTTCCAAAAACTTGTGTTTGTGCAGTCTCTACCCCGGATACCATAATCCAGTTGGGGGGCTCATGTTTGATGGGGGGGTTCTGATTAGAGCTGCCTTGGAGGGTCCCAGAGGGGTCCTAGCAGCTGGCCGCCCTATCATGCATGGCCGGTCTGGGGGGGGTCTACATTACTCGTCTGGGAGCGTTGTGACGCCCTCCTCTTGGATGGCGAACTTGGGAGCACCCTCCTCCCAGGAGCGGCGCGCGCAGCCGCTGGCCAAGCCAACGCCCTGCGTGGGAGAACCCATCGGCCGAGGCTGCCGGCGGCCGGCGCCCGTCTCCAGGCTGCTGCGCGCGCAGCGCGCGCGCGGGGACGCCGCCCGCCGTCCTGAGAGGCGTCGACGGGGCGGCTGGGCCGGGTTGAGCCAGGCCCTGGGGGGACAGAGTCTGTTCAAGAGTCGAGCAGTGGCGAAGCGTTCTGGTTTGCCACTGGGCCCACCAAAGACTGCTCTGAGGGCCTGTTATGGTTTGTTTGCGCACGATGTTCTGGGAACGTTGCTGGCTAAGACTGCTTTGTTTTAGCACATTGACTTTCTCTTCTAAGAACCGTGTTTGTCGTCGAAGGGCATGTCGTGGTAGGTCTACAGGAATGCCGGGACCGTCGGCTTTGCTCAAAAGAGGCTTACGCCATTCCGCCGGCGTCCAGAAGAGGGATGACGTCCACGGGTGAGGCCTTTCGCGGCCTCTTGGGGACCCTCTGGGGGGCTTCTTTCCCGTCGGGACCATGGGGGGGGGCAGCATAGCAACCCGGGACCACCCCTTCCCCCGGGACCCCGCGCTGGCGCCCCCCCGTAGGACGTTTCATTCCGCGGCTACACCATTGTGCTGGGTGCTGAGCCCGAGTACGATGCGCAAGACAAGATGCCTTCCAGCCTTCCAGCGTTGTTGCACGCATCCGTTTGTTTGACCCCCGCATTGGTATCGCACCCCAATCAATCTTTACCCTTCGACGTACCCAACCGCTCGGCACCACGGGATGATATAAGGTGTACCCACAACAGTGCAACAACAATATTGCAAGACACGGTGCACGGCAAGACACGGTGCACGGCGGACATCGGGGCGGAAGAACAATCACCTCGGCACAGGCAGCGAGATGATGGAGCATGGAGAAGAGAAGGTTATACATGCAGAGACGCAACGGAAGCCTCCCCAGGAGCCCTCGAAAGTGGGGACAGTTTCACACTTCGCAGCCCAGCAGGGATGGCGAGGTTTCGTGTGGATCTGCGTGGGGTCCCACTCTGCTGGCTCCCCAAGCAGCTCTCGACAGTGGCGACTCACACTTCTCAGCCCCCCCAGCGACGGCGAGGTCCCGCTTGGATCCGCGTGGGGCCCCACTACGCGGGCTCCCACAACAGCCTTCGAAAGTGGGGACACTTTCGCACGTCTCAGCACCCCAGGGATGGCGAGGTCCCGTTTGGATCCGCGTGGGGCCCATCGTGCGAGCTCCCCCAGCCGCCGTCTAGATTGGCGACAGTTTCGCATTTCGCAGACCCCCCCATGGATGGCGAGGTCCCGTTTGGGTCTGCGTGGGAAACCAGTGTGCTGCCCCCCCACCCAAGCAGCCTTCGGATGTGGCGGCAGCTTCGCACTTCGCAGCCCCCAAGGGCATGCACGACGGCAAGGCAGGCGACAGACCAGCCAGGCAGGACAGCGAGGCAGGAGGCATACAAGCAGGCAGGTGCAGGCAGGCGAGAGGGGGACAGACGGCGGAAGGATGAGAACGGAGGGCTGGAGACCCACTGATCTATTCAAAACAAGAAACCAACCAAGGGACCAAGGGAGGGTTGGGACATACGTCAAGATACGATGTTGGCACAAAGTGAGTGTGTGCTTTGTTGTTCGGCATCTTTCGCCGCGCAGCCTGGTTTTTCCGAACGGGGTCTGTCAGACTCGTCCCCGCAGAGATTCAGTGTTTGCAGACCCGCCTGGGCTCTTTATGTGCAGACCCGTCTGGGCAGAGCTTGGATGTTGTTTTTCCTTGCTTTCTCCACGTTTTTGTACAGTGCACGGCATCTGACAGTTCGTCTGGAATTCACGAATTCGTGAAGTATCCGACGGCAATTCAAACCGCACGGCTAGAAGCTGTGAGAGTCAACACGCTCTGTCTCTCCAAGGTTATCCAAATTGCTGTTGCAGGCTCCGCCAACACAAGCCGTCGCAACGTTCTGTACGCCTGCTCTCCCGAAGTTGACCTGGCTGCCCGGCCCCTCAAGCGGAGAGGATGTCGTCCGCTGCATGTAGGACTGGGAGCAGCAGGACGCAGATGCAGGAGAGGGAGAGAGGGAGAGAGATGTGGAGGAGAGGAACACGGTTCTGGCACTCCTGGTCGTGCATTGGACCTTAATTTTTAGTACCTATACGACCACCCTGCGGGTGATAAGGAGTTGAGGGGGGAGGGGGAACCAACGTCTCACTCAATCGATCTCGCTATCGATCTCACAATCGATCTCACATTCGATCTCACTATCGATATCACCATCGATCTCGCTATCGATCTCACTATCGATCTCACAATCGATCTCACAATCGATCTCACATTCGGTCTCACATTCAGTCTCACTGTCGATCTCACTATCGATATCACAAACGATCTCACAGTCGATCTCACATTCGGTCTCACATTCGGTCTCACTATTGATCTCACTATCGATCTCACAATCGATCTCACAATCGATCTCACATTCGGTTTCACATTCGGTCTCACTATCGATCTCACAATCGATCTCAGTATCGATTTTCACTCGGCAATTTTCACTCGGCACCATCATCATCATAACCATCATTACCATCATCATCTCACAATCGATCTGACTATCGATCTCACAATCGATCTCACTATCGATCTCACAATCGATCTCACATTCGGTCTCACTATCGATGTCACAATCGATCTCACAATCGACATCATCATCATCATCATCATCATCATCATCATCAAGAACAACACCAACATCATCATCATCATCATCATCATCATCATCATCATCATCATCATCATCATCATCATCATCATCATCATCATCATCGCTATCATCTCCATCATCATCATCACCATCATCATCATAATCATCCACATCATCATCGGGACACCGACGGGACACCGACGGGACACCAGCGGGACACCGGCGGGACACCGCGCGCCACCGGCCGCCCGGAAGAGACACATTTGGTCCGGCCGCGCCTCAGCCACAGGGACACCGACGGGACACCAGCGGGACACCGGCGGGACACCGCGCGCCACCGGCCGCCCGGAAGAGACACATTTGGTCCGGCCGCGCCTCAGCCACAGGGACATCGACGGGACACCAGCGGGACACCGGCGGGACACCGCGCGCCACCGGCCGCCCGGAAGAGACACATTTGGTCTGGCCGCGCCTCAGCCACAGGAGACTTTCCTCTCGCCCGCCCACGCAGCTTCGCCTCGCCCGCGCGCACGGCACGCACGAACACGAAACCGAAATCGATTTCCCGGTAGGGGGGCTCTCTGTTCCACTTCGATCTCACCCTCTCACCTCCGATATTTGTGGTGCCTCCGCCTCGTTCTCTCGCCTCTTCCCTCTCTCACTCATATCGCTCACACTCAGACACTCGTGCCCTATCTCCCTCCCATCCAGACTCGCCCATGCCCAAACCCACTCATGTTCATAATTACATCTTCTCAGCCTCGCTCTGGCTCAGGCTCGCACACGTCCAGATTCATTCACACGCATATTCATTCATACTCAGACTGACTCGTCCTCGGACGCCCATGCTGAAACTCACTCGTTTTCTGACACGTCCACATCCAGATTCAACACACATCCGTACTCACTGTCATACCCACAACTACTCGGACTCATTCAGATTCAGACCCGCTAGTAACCAGACCCATTCACACGCAGACCCACTCATGCCCAGTCCTTTATACTCAGACCCGCTCACACGCGTTCACACACAGACTCTCTAGCATTTAGCCAGGTACACCCACGTGGTGTTGACCAAGGGCGTTTGTTGTGTGTCTTGGGGGCCTCTTTTGGGGCTCTGCGATCGTATTGGGGCGTTTGGGGGCTCTCGGGGGCCCTCAGCTTTTAGCATGATTTAATCGCTTCGCTCATTCCGCTGGCCCATTTCGCATCATTGTGGCCGCGTGGTGGTGTGCTCGTGCCCAGGGGAGGGCAGTACGTGGCTCGCACCTTGTCGAAGGGAGCCGTTAGACTGCCCCAGAGGGCGCCAGGATGGCTCAAGAGAGCTCTAGAAGAGTTTCGAGACGTACCTGGGTTGTGGGTCAAAGTTCTCATGGATGCTTCTTCGGGACTCTTCGGAGGAAGCCGCTGGGGAGCCTCTTGGGGGCTTTTTGGTGGCCTCTTGGGGCTTCCTGGGGGCCTGTTTGGAGTCTTGGAGGCTTCTTTTGGGGCCTCTTGTGGGCCTCTTGGAGCCTCTTGAGTGGCTCGTAGGTTCTTCTTGGGGCCTCCTGGGCGCGTCTTGGGGCCAAAGGCTCGAAATGTCCGTTCGGGTTCCCCGTCTGGCCCTGGCCCCCTGTGGGGGCCGTCCTGGGACAATCTTCGGCCGTCTCGGAGGCCTCTTGGGCCGCCTTAGGCCCTCTTGGCCCTCTTGGGAGGCCTTTTGGGCCGTCTTGGGGCGATCTTTGAGGCCTATTGGGCCATCTTGGAGCGTCGCGGGAAGGCGAACAGATGAGAACGCCAAAATCCTTCAACAACCGAAGGGGAATCGAAGGTTTTTGCTCCCTGGAGCCCCCTTGAGACGCTTCTTCGAAGCCTCTTTGGGTGTCTTGGGAGCCTCTTGCTTCCGAGGGCTCGAAATGCACGTTCGGACTCCCCGTCTGACCCCCTCTTGGTGCTGTCCTGGGAATATATTGGGCTGCCTTGGATGCCTCTTGGGCCGTCTTGGGGCCCTCTTGGGCCCTCTTGGGCCCTCTTGGGGCTCTCTTGGAGGCTTCTGGGGCCATCTTGGGGCGATCTGTGTGGCGCCTCTTGCTCGAAATGCCCGTTCGGGTTCCCCGTCTGGCCCCCTGTGGGGGCCGTCCTGGGGATATCTTCGGCCGTCTTGGCTTGGAGGCCTCTTGGGCCGTCTTGAGGCCCTCTTGGGCCCTCTTGGGCCCTCTGGGTGCTGTCCTGGGAATATTTTGGGCCGTCTTGGAGGCCTCTTGGGTCGTCTTGGGGCTCTTGGGGCTCTCTTGGAGGCCTCTTGGGCCATCTTGGGGCGATCTTTGGCGCCTCTTGGGCCGTCTTGGAGCGTCGCGGGAAGGCGAACAGATGAGAACGCCAAAATCCTTCAAACACCGAAGGGAAATCGACGGTTTTTGCTCCCTGGAGCCCTCTTGAGACGCTTCTTCCTCTTTGGGCGTCTTGGGAGCGTCAGCGGCCGTCTGGAGGCTATCTAGGGCGTCTTGGACCGATCGGTCGGCGACTCGGAGCCCTCTTGGACCGTCTTGGGGACTCTCGGGGCCTTCTAGGAGCGCCAAGAAGGGCAACACATCTCTGGGTAGTACTGGCCGGGGTACTTTTCGTCTGGGGACCCCCAGGGGCCACCCCGCGCGCGCGAACTATAATATTGTTTACCAGTAGCCGGAGATCTTAGCACGCCTCTGGCCCGTTGGGCTGGCGAATTCCATGCCCCAGCGTACCAAAGGGCATGGTGGCGGGTGCTTCTCTTCTTGTGCTATCGTTTTCTAGTTCTGCTCTCTCCGACGTGTCAGAAGCCCTGCTCCCTCTGCGGCGTTGCCGCATCCTCAGGTCCTCGATTGCAGGGGGAGGCCCTGGGCAATGATGGTGCCGCGTCGTTCCGCCCTCTTATGGCGGTCTTGCCCTCTTGCGGCCATCTGACCCAAGAAGGTCAGCACGGGCCTTCTCTCGGACGTAGACCCAGTCTTCTTTTGCCACCCTCCTGTTTCTCAGGGGAGGAAAGTTGCTGCTAAAGCCACCCTTGTGAGCTCCTGTCCTCTTGTGAGCTCCTGTCCTCTTTTATTGGTCACAACGCATCTGGGGGGATGTCTGGGGAGTAGCGGTATCGGTATCGGTACCTTTGGTAAGAGGTTTCAAGTTGCGCATAGAGCCCTCCAGGTAGCCCCGGCTGGCCTCAACAGGCCCTCCCAGCAGTTCCATCTGATCTCAACAGGCCCCCGAGTAGCCCGTGACAGTCTCAACACCCTGGCGCGGGGCCCTCCGCGCCCCAGGGTTGGGGTGTTGAGACCGTGCTGGACTACTCGGGGGGCCTGTGGAGACCAGCTTGGACTATTCGGGGAGCCTGTCGAGGCTTGCCGGGACTACCTGGGGACCTGGGGGGGGGGCCCTTTGTGCGCAATTTGAAGCTTCAACCGGTCACCCCCCGAACCAACGTGCTAACACATTTCATGTGAAGCTGTTCGGGTACCGCCATGGGCGTGCGCACCGCTTCTCTTGCCGCGCGATTGTTTTCCCCATCCGTCGTGTGAATTGGGCCCACGTCTTTAATCCGCAGGGCCGCGCGTCTTCCATCCTTCCTCCTCGACCCCCTTCCCCTTCTCCTCCACTTCCTTTTCCTCCTGGCACATCTTCTGCTACTGGGTGCGTTCGCATGACGTCGCCCCGCACATTTCGGCACATCCCTCACACATTTCCTGCCCCTAGGGAGCTCCACCGAGGGCCTCAGTGGGTGCGTTCGCATATGGTCGCCCTGTCCATGTTCGCACAGCCCTAACATATGTCCTGCCCCCCTGGGACCACCGATGGCGGGTGCGTTCGCATGGCGTCATCCCGCCTATTACGGCAGGCCCGCACGCACACCATTCGTGAGTTGCCCCATGTTGTGCCAGAGTTTCTGTCCATGTCTTCAAGGGCGTCACCATCGCAACTTTACAACATGAGCGCCACCTTCTCATGTCAGGCGCCCGTCCTGCTCCGCGCGTTCATCGTCAGTCTCCCCAATGCGAGTCGACCTGTGAGAGCGCATGCGTGAATGCGGGACTCTGTTCGCGGTCGGACCGTCTTTGGCGAGGTTGTCGGTGTCATTGCACATTCTTCAACGTGCTCTTGTGTATCGAGCCGTCTTGTTTATAGTTGACTTTTGTGTTAGATAGTGCCAATGTCTTCGCTGAACTAGTTTTTCCCTCTATCACGTAATTGTCATTACCCAGGCCCCCCACCCCTCCCCGGGTAACGGAAACGGTATTACGTAGGGGGGGTGGTTGCCCCCCCCACCCACACACATGTTGGTGTTGGAGCGCATGTTATTACGACCGCAGCGTACCCACGCCCAAACGTGCCCCACCCCGACCAAGCGTTGCCGTTACCAGGCATACGAGTAAACAAACAATGTCCTAGCGGCAGGTTCTGCTAGACGCCGCAGCCGCACTTCTTGATCTTGCAGCACGCGTTATTATCCTCCGCTTTCTGCTCCGCCGCCTCCTTCCTCTCTGCACCCGTGCCCTTTGTTTCTTAAGTCCCTCCCTCCCCAAAAGTCCGACAGCTGCGCTGGGGTTTCACTTTGCATTCCTCAGAGCGGTGTTTCCTGTCTGCTTGTAGCGCGTTCTGCTGAGTTCTGCCAGCGGCCAGCAGGCGTTTGTTTTCTCTGCGTTGGGCAGGTCTTGAACCTTTGAAGCGGTTTGTGTGGGCGTATATTCCATCACCGTTCTTTGGGAACCAGCAACTTCGCCGTCGTTGTGACGCGGTAGTGCCAATTTTGTGCGGGCGTGGGCAGCTTCTGCGCAGCCTGGCCCAGCCTCTAGCAGTCTTACCTTCGCCGTGTCGCTGAAGTACCTGTTTTGCGCAGGCGGGTGCAGCTGCTGCGCAGCCTGAACTTGAACCAGCCTGCGATGCCATGCGAGCCTCTGAAACGAAGCGGGGCTCGACATAAAATGTGTTTCGGCGATTGATTCGTGGACCGTTCTCGTTTGCACTCTGTTTTCCAGTGAAGGCGGAACGACGACAACGCGAGGGAGAGCGAACACAAAACATCGAAAGCGAACGAAACGGCCCAGGTCGATCCCCGACAAGCCGCTTCGCGGCCTCTCGAAGGAGAACGAATGGCATAAACCTAGACTTTCGGAGCTCCGTGCAGATGTACTGCATCTGCTCTAAAACCCCCTGGCAGCGCCTCCGGCGCCGCCCCTGTCGCGCTCCGCGCGCGAGGGAGGGGGCTTCGGCGCAAATCCAAGACATTCGCGCGGACATCCGATGTTTATCTTCGCAGCTCGCCGGGGCTCCTCGGAATTTCCCAGAAGCTTCTCGATGCATTCCATGCGTTGTTCATTGGCCTTTCTGGTGGGTTTCCCGGGGCTTCAGGGAGCCACTGGGGCCTGCAACTTCTCGTTGGCCTTCCAGGTGTCGTCAGGATCAGGGTCGTGAGGCGGAGGATGATCAGGATTAGCACGATCTGGTGGAAGGTCTGGTGGAAGGGAGGGATACGGCAGATCAGGAGTAGGCGGATAAGGTAGCCTTTCCTTCTTCGTCCCTCTTCTCATCTTCCATTCTGCTTCTGTTCCTCCTTCACCTTCTCCTGATCCTGCTGTCCCTCGAGAACCTGACCCTGCTCGCCATGCCCACCCAGAATGTCCCTGAAGCGTTGCGAGGGGAGAGTCTGGGGTGTTCAGGGACACCCCAGAAATTCACGTACTTCCCGGGGTTGTCCACGGGCGTCCAAGGGATATCCTCGTCCTCCTCCCCGTCCTTATCTTCCCTGCCGTTGTTGCTGCTGCTGCTGCTGCTGCTGCTGCTGCTCCCCCCACACTCTCCGTAGCCATTTTGGCGCAAGTTTTGGCTCAAATCCGTAGCGGAAGGCTCAGGGACTACAGTTTGGCATTGGGGAGAGACGGCCCCAGCAGTATTTTATCGCTCCGTGTGCTGCACTACCGTTTCATCCCGCTGCTTGTGACGCACGTGAGTTTTTCTTTTCATTCCCTACCTGGGCTCTGCCTAGAAGGGTTCTTACCCTCTGTGCTTAAAGGGTGGGGCAGTGTAAAGCGCCCGGGGCGGTTCCCCCAGGATCCGCCCCGCGGTTCCCCCAGTTACGTCCCCTTAGCTTAGCTTTGCTTATCTCATTTTAGCTTAGCTTATGTCAGCTTAGCTTAGCTTAGCTTCATCTTAGCTCAGGTTTATCTTAGCTTAGCTTACCTTCATCTTAGCTTCGCTGAGCTTTAGCATAGCAGAGCACAGCATAGCATAGCGTAGCATAGCATAGCGCAGCATAGCATACTAGCATGGGTGTAATTCCCTACCAAGGCTCTGCCTAGAGGGTTAGCTTGGCTTAGCTTAGCTTAGCATAGCGCAGCGCTGCATTAGCATAGCATACCATAGCATACCATAGCCACTCATATCATATCATAGCGCAGCATAGCATAGCATGGCATAGCATAGTATACCATGCCATAACATAGCATTGCATATCGCAGCTTAGCATAGCTATCATATCATAGCATAGCTTATCATAGCACAGCGCATCATGACATACCATAGTTTATCATAGCACCGCATAGCATAGCATAACCCAGCATAGCATAGCATAGCATTGCATAGCGCAGCATAGCATGGCATGGCATAGTATAGCATAGCAACTAATGCTGCTTTCCTAAGGGCTCCGACTTCTAGGTAGGGTCGCACTGGGGTAATTTATTCTGGGGCGATGGCGGCCGATGACGTCACGTTTCGCGCCAGCGGCGTCTGGGAATGCTTGGGAATGACCGAGAACTGGTAGATAGAGGTGGCGATCTGCACAACAGCGCTTGTGTACAGGACATTGCCTGCGTGCACCACAGCGCCTGTGTACACCACACCGTCTATGCCCACAACAGCAGCCGCGTGCAACACAGCGCCAGTGTGCACCACAGTGCTAGCGTGCACCACAACGCTTGTGTACACCACAAAAACTGCGTACACCAATGCAGCCCTGTGCAACAGAGCATTCGTGAACACCACAGTACCTGCGTGCACCACAGCGCCTGTGTACACCACGGCGCACGTGTGCACCAGAGCAGCCGTTTGCAATAGAGCACCGTTGTTGTATACAGAATGTCCGAAGGAATCCTCATTACAAACAGGAGTGTTTATTGATTCATACAATTGTTGTAATTTGGATTTGGAATGGATTCCCGATGGGAACAAGGAGCGCCGCTGGAATCGACGAGTCCTCCCGCGTCCCCCCGCATCATCCGAACTCTCCCCCTATGCGTCCAGAAGGTTCCCCCGGAACTGGCCGCCAGAGAACCAAGCGTACTGACCAAATAGACCATTCGGCGGTGCACGCTGAGATGCGCACGTGCGCTGTAGCGCCGACCCGAACGACAGGGGGAACGGTGAAGGAGATGCAACACGTGGAGGACGAGGAAGAGGAGGAGGAGGAGGACGAGCAGAAGGAGGAGGAGGAGGAAGAGGGAGGAGGAATAATATCGCATTCTGTTATCAGCATTGCCTTTGCGAGGTATTGGGCTGCTCGCAGCAGATCTTCACCCACATGCTCCTGCTACCTGTCCTGTGCACGCAGGCGCTGTGGCGTACACCAGCGCTGCGTTGCACGTGGATGCTGTGATGTACACAGGCGCCGTTGTGAACACAGGTGCAGTGGTGCATGCAAGCACTGTGGTGTACACAGACGCTGCGTTGCACACGGCTCCCACGGTGTACACAGGCGCTGTGGTGTACACGCGCGCTGCGGTGCACGCGAACACTGTGGTGTACACAACTGTTGCGTTGCTCGCGGCTGTTGCGGTGTACGCAGGCGCTGTGGTGTACGCGGGCGCTGTTGCGATGCGGCATGCGAGCACTGTGGTGTACACGGGCGCTGTGGTGCAGATCGCCACCTGCATGACGCTCCTCCTTGACTTGGGTCATCCTTAGGCATTCCTGGACGCCGCCAGCGCGGCACGTGACGTCATCTGGGCGAGGGGGGGGCGGGGCCGTCGACGGCCACTATCCCGGAAAATGGGAAAACAAGGTCCAGTAATGACGGGATCATGGTTCCTCATGTGCATGCACGTGTGCGAAAGAGCGTTTCTCTCGCGCGATCTCCGCTCATACGAGCGGACATTCAGAGGGCACACGAGCTGCTCCGGATGCGGGAACTTAGCTAGCTGTCGATACAGTAATGTGTTCCTGTCCAGACATTAATTGTTTCCCCGACGGCGGCGGGTATTGATGTGTCTGGCGGGAGCAAGGATACGATGAATATGAGGCGTCTTTTTCCCACCATTACTTGCAACGAGGTGTGGGCAGAAAAAACACGATGTCCGTCTGGGCCCCCATCGGAGGAGCGGAATTGCGAGCTCAATTGCGCGCGCGGTCGCGCGCGACCCGCCGCTGGTAGTAACGTGAATGCGCGGGCGTCGCGGCGACGACGACGGCGACGGCGACGAGGACGGCGGCGCCTGCGTCGATTGCGACGACGACGGCGGCAACGGCGACAGCGGCGACGACGAACATCGCGGCGACGGCGGCGACAGGGCCCGGACCCACGGGCGAGTTTGCGCCCCGTCCTCGTTCCTAGAGTTCCGCGTCAGATTTTACGGGAGGAGAGAAATGTCTGTGCGCAGCTTTGCCCTAGCCGTTTCTCTGCTTCACAAAAGCTTTCTTTTTGTTTTCGTAATACGTAGTTTTCCTTTTTCAGAATGTATTTCACGGCGCGCCTTTACTACAGCCGCCTTTTCGCCTTAGTAAAGCCACTTCCTCGTTTTAGCAAAACCGCTTCCTCGCTTTAGCAAAGCCGCTTCCTCGGTTTGGAAAAACCCGCGGTCTGCCTCAGTGAAGCCCAGGGGATGCGGCGGTGACGCGGGGCCAGGGCCCGGCCGGTGAGCGGGGGGTCTCTGTTTCCCTGCCAAGTCACCCCGCGACGCATCGGGTCGCGACAATCCTTGGACATTTTTCAGCGAGTTGTAGATGCTCCTTGAGAGGAGATTTTGGGCGCGAACGCAGGACGTGGCTCGGCCATTCGGACGCGCCGCCGCGGTTGGCGCGCAACAGAGCAACAACACTTTACTAAAAGGCTTGTTCTCTTTAGCAAATAGCTCCGGAAGTAATTCTGTGAAGCCTCCGCTTCCAAATTAAAAAAGGCGCGGGGTCAACGCCGGCGCGGCTGCAAGAAGACAGCCAGGCAAACGAGTCTGAAGGTTGGTCGAGGATGCTTATTTTCCGGTTGTTGTTGGTGTGCTCGTTTTATGTTTTTTGAAGTTGGTTTTTTTCGGAGTAGGAATGACGGAGTTATTACTCGGCACAAATCCGCCTGCGCTGGAAACGACCCTGCGGCTGGCCGCGGGGGCGCCCTCGCTCGGTTGGTCGGCCGCGCGCTGGCCGACCCGCGTCCGCCCCCCGCTTGCGTTGTGCGGTGTTGTGTCGTGCCGTGCTGCTTCTGCCTGGTGCTAGGGCGGGGTATCAATACCGTGCCGTGTCTCGCTTCTCGGTCCATAGTGGCTTGTACCGTGTCTCGTGTTTCGGTTCATATGTAGTGACCACGTGCGGTGCCCCATAGTGGCCTGCTGCGCTCAGTGGGCCAGGGGGGCCATCTTCTGGTCCATGTGACCACGTGCTGTCGTTGGGTTTATCGTGATTTCTGGCCCAATGGGGCCCTCTCTTCCAATCCAGAGTGATTTTTGGTCCATCGTGACCACGTGTCGTGGTGCAAAGTGACCCATTGGGCTTCTCCCCCTGGTCCACAGCGGCCAGTGGAAAGGGGGGGCTTCGCGCGGTCCCCCGCGTCCGCCGTGCCCTCTGTGGTGTGTCCATTCTTTATCGCGGCGCCCCCGCGGGTGGGCGCGCGGGCCCAAGCTGGCGGGCAGCTGGCGCCGTCGCGCGGGGTTCTTGCGCGCGCCCCGAGGCGCTGAGCTCGCGATGGCGATGCTTGCCTTCTTGCGGTCTGACCCTTTTGTAGGTGCGAAGTGGGCTGACATCTAGTTCGAGGGCGCGGTTGATTGCCCAGCAGCCAATGGGCTGACGGCGCCAGCAATAATGTGGACTATTCAATCCGAACATCCGCGGGAAGCCGACCGCATGCCTGCGCTGTCGCGCGCTCTGGACCGCGCGACGGTGGCGGGGGCCAGGGCGAGTTCGCCGGGGGCCGTGGTGCCCGCGCATGCTTCGGCGCGACGTTGCGGCTGCGACGCAGCAGACTTCCGGGCCTGCGCCAACAGGGGCACGCGTCGACATCGGCGCGAGCCTTGCCCAGATTACCCCGGGGGGCCTTCCGCCATCATTATGGCCGAGGCGGCCGCGCGTCTCAGTCCCGGCGCGCTAGCGCGTATCCGCAGTTCGCTCAGGTCGGCGAAGACCGACGCGTTGGCCACCGAGGCGCAGCGCGCTGCAGCCAGGGGCATCGAGCACCCGTTTATCTATGCGGAGCTCGCGAAGTTTCAGCTTCTATGCGCGCGCGGCGCGGGCGGCTCTCCCGGCGATGACGCGCTCGCGTCAAAAGAGGCAGCCGCGCTGGCTAGAGCTCTCGGCCAGGGCGCGGGGGCGGAGAGCCAGCCGCGTCTGGCGCGGGCGCCGTGGCGCCCGGCGCACGGCGGCGGCGGTCACTGATCAGATGTCGTATATATGCGCCATGGCCAGCGAACGCGTCGTTTCCCAGGCGAGCCCGGGCTGGCCCCGTCTGCCGGTCGCCCGCGGGGGCGCGCCCGCCTAGGTTGCACCGGGTGCCCATTTGCAGGGGCCGATGGCCCAGGTCGCCTTGGCGCGCGACCGCCATCCGCGGAGGGCGCGGGCCGAGCGCGCCGCCGCCGGCGCGGTGGGCATCGCGGCCGCAGCTTCGCGCCCTGTTTCAATGCGATGCCCTCGGGCGCGCGGGCGAGCGAAACTGCGTCGTCGTTTGACTCAGCAGAAGCAGAATGCGATTGGGCCCGGAAGGGCGCGTCGTCGAATCTCCTTTCGCGCGCTGCACCGCCGCCGCCGCGCAGGTTGCTGCGACGGTCGGCAGGGCGCGGCAAGAGGCGCCGCGGCGGCGCGCGGGCAGAGTGCGAGCGCCGCAAGCGCCGCGGGCGCCGCTGGCACCTTCTGGAAGAAGAGTGGCCGCGAGCCGAGAGCTGGACGGGTGGTAGTCCCGCTCTTCTTACCGCGGGGAGCGCAGCGACAAGCGCCCCCGGGATTCGCGGGCGGCGCATCCACCTCGGGGGAAGCCGCCCGCCCGACGCCGGCCAGAGGCGCGCGCTTCGCGCGGCGCGCATCGATGTTTTGGGCGCGCACCAAAGAGATTATGCATCTCGCGCCGCGTCGGCATTTGAATGGCGACGAATGGGGGCCGACCGCGGCCGCCGCTCCGCGGGGCCCGCAGGCGCGCGCGCGCTGGCGGCTGGGCGCCGCGATGGTGCCGCGTCGTTCAGGGCATGGGCGCCTGTCTGCCATCGCGGCCCTGTTGCGACTCGAGGGCCGCCCGCCCTCTGGGCCAGCAGGCGCGCGAGCGCCCGCGGCAGGCCTGCGCGCTTGCGCTCGCGAAGTGCAGGAAGCGACGGGACTTGGCGTCGATGCCGCGTGGAGTTATCATGCGCTGCGCTCCGGGGAGCGCGCGGCGCTCGCGGGCTCGCGCGCCCGGCAGACTGGCGCCTCTAGCTGCAATCAGCGCGGTCGCGCGCCGGCCATGGCGGGCTGCAGTGGCCTGCCGTCGCCTTCGTCTGCCGAGGAAGCGCCTGAGCTTGCCTGGCGTCGCCTCGTCTTGAAGAGGCCCTCTCTCGCCCCCGTGCCCGCGAGGACAAAAGAGGCGGTGCCCGTCGCCTTCTCGGCGGCGATCGAGTGGTTTGCTGCGCGCCCGGCGCGGCGGGCGCACCGCGAGCGGCGCGCGACTCTCGAGAGCACTCGGGCCAGAGACGCCGAGCCCCGCGCCTGGAGCGACGGCGGCGTGGTTCGCGGGCTCCGACGCGAATGCGCGCGCCGATTCAGCGTCGATCAACGGCCCCCGCCCTCTTCGAACTGCTTGGCGAAATTGGTTGCGAGGGCGCCGCCTGCGTGGAAATTTTCCGGCGCGGCGCGCCCCTCGTGGCCACGGGGCCGCCCCCGCGCGCGGGGGGAGGGCGGCATGAGTCTTTCCTTGAACTGCTCATCCTGTCGGAAATGACCGCGGGCGCGGCGCGCGGCGACGGCGCGGTGCTCGGCGCGCTCAGAGAGTCCAGCGACTTGGCCGATACTCTCGCAAAATGTGTTGCCGAACTTGGCCGAGTGGGCCATCCCGCGCCAATCGGCGCGGTCGAGCTTGACGGCGCCGTTTTGGCGCCGCGGCTCGGCGTCAGGCAAATGAGAGAGGACGGGTCCGAAAAGCTGCGGCTTGTAGATGATATGGCGCGCCCTTTGATCAACGCGGCGTCTCGGCCGAAGGGGCGCCTCGGCCACGGCGGCGTCGGTGCTCTGTCCGGCGCGTGCAAAGCCTTTTGTGACGCGCGTGGGCGAAGCGCCCGGGCTCTGGAAGGCGGACGTATAGCCGCGCTCCGGGGGGCCCCGCTGGCGCCAGAACATCGCGCCTTCGCGTGGATTGCTTTCTCCATGGGCACATGCATCTACGTGGCTCAGCACTTCGCCGCCCAGCTCGGAGCGACATCCTCCGTTCGCAGTTGGGGGCGCGTCGGCGCGATGCTGGCCGCGCTGGGCCGAGGGGTCATTTTTGCCCCCGCCCTTCGGTATGTGGGCGATTTCTTTTGCTCTGAACGCAAGGCAGGGCCGCGCGACGCAATGCGACATATCGCCGAACTTGTGGGGATGATTCTCGGTCCGCGGGCCGTGGCCGACGGTGGGCTGCAGTTCGGCCATCCGCTCGGCGTTCTGGGTCTGTCTGAAACGATTGACGAGAAAGGCCTTGTGCATTGAGAAGCTCCATTGTTTGGTGGTCAGGTCCCACGCGGATGCGGCGCCTGGCATTTCGCGCCCCCGACCTCGTCGTGCGTCGCCGGAATTTCACGAGCGGGCATGGGCATCGCCTTGCTCCACTTGTTCAGGCCAGGCCTCAACCATTGCAACGCTGGTGTGCCCATCTTTCCCCATCGACGCCCTGGGGGGCTCCATTCCGCGGGCGGGGCGGTTGGTGGCCTCCTTCTGGGCGCCCCTCGCACTCGGCGTCGCGGGCGACGTGGAAGTGCGCGAGGTCGCGGGCGAGCGCTGCGAGTAGTTCGCGAGCCTCACCGGGCGCTGCGTCGAGGGCGGTAAAGGGGCGCCGGGGCGGGGGCGATCGCAAGCGCTGGCGAGTAAATGGGCGACGCCTGTCTGCCAGAGGAAACGGTCAAAGTGTCGCCGCAGCTCCAGCCGCTGAGCTCGTTGGGGCCCGAAGGGGGAGGGGTGAACCCCTCCCCGAAGGGGAAGAGGGAAGGGTGGAAGAGGAAACGCGTTTAAGTACTTGCGCCCAGAGGGCTGATGGATTATTTTCCCCCATCGGGCCCTCGCCATCAACCAAGCGCTGCCCTTGCGCGCGCCCCGCTCTGCGCCGCGCCGCGACGAGCGGCGCGGCGTTGCCTGGCGTGGCGCGCAGGAGGAAGGCGTACTCCAACGTCGTGGGTATAAACCCACTTCGGAACACCGCGCGGAAGTCGGAGCACCCCGCGGAGGCCTGAGCGCCAGCGGCAGAGGGATATGGAAAGGGGCGCATAGGTCAAGGGGAAGGGCCGACGACGACGACGAGGCAACAACGGGCGCAACGGCGATGGGGCGCAGTGGTGGAAGGCCTGTCACGCGCATGCGGAAATCATAGGTGTGCTTTAAAGCGTTTCATCTTCCACCCCTTCCTCTTCCCCTTCGGGGACGGGTTCACCCCTCCCCCTTCTCCCCTCCCGTGGACCTGGACGGGTGCGGTCGCGGGTCGCTGGGGCATCCAAAACGGCTTCGGCGAGGAAGCCAGAATCATTGGTTGTATTAGGGTGGTGGCCCCATTTTGGCACCTTTGGGAGGGAGGCTAATTATGAACCCCCTTTTTGTTATCGATCTCCTCCAAGATGGCCCCAAGAGGCGCCCAGGAGGCCCCAAGAGGGCCCAAGATAGTCCCAAGACGGCTCCAAGATGGCCCGCAGGAGGCCCCAAAGACAACCCCAAACGGCCCCAAGAGACCCCATGAGGCCCCAAGATGGCCCTAAGACGGCTCCAAGATGGCCCGAAGAGGCCCCCAGGAGGCCCCGAAGAGGAACCCAAACGGCCCCCAGCGGCCCCCCAGAGGCACCCAAGACGCCCAAGATCACCCAGGACCGCCGAGAGACCCCCGAGACGTCCAAGGAGGCCTCCAAGAAGCGCCCAAGAGATACCCCAAGAGGCTCCGACAGGCATCCAGGAGACATCTGGCCTTTTTTTTCCCTCGTCCTCCTGCTCCTCCTGTCTCCTCCTACTCCTTTTCTTCCTCCTCCTCCTCCTCCTCCTCCTTCTCCTCCTCCTCCTCCTCCTCCTCCTCCTCATCATCATCATCATCATCATCCTATGCATCTTCCTTCTCCCCACTCCTTCATCCATCCATCCAGTCTCCTCCTTCTCCTCCTACCTCCTCCGCACGGTTCGACCGTCCACCTCTTTGCTCCCGCGTTTTCCTGATCACCTCAACTCGCCTGGACATCTTTTCTGGGTGGGCTGGTGGGGATGCGCGAAGCGTCTAGAATATCCGAGCACTCTTTGAGGACGCCTGATCCGTTGCAGCGAACAGAGTTGGCGGGCTCGTGCGCGGGCGTTTCGTAGCAGCTTTGGTACCCTTGCCACGCATTCTTAATGTTCTTTGCTCGGCACAGAACGCCCCAGCTGGTTGCGGGCGACGCGCGCGACCCACCTCCGAGGAGGATGCCCAGAGTGCCTGCGTGAATTCACACGCAGTCGGCCCCTGCAGCCTCATGCCGGAGCCCGACAAACAGCGGCGGCTCACGTAGCCCAGAGCCGCCGCAGCTGCGCGGGGCTCTCTGGTAGCCAGCCACAGAACACGGGCGCCAGCCCCGCCGGCCCAACGAAGCGATGGATTACCCGCAGCAGCGTCGTGACTAGCAGTCCCCTCACCTCCGAACGTTATGGGCCCCCCGAAAGGTAACTCCGTTTACAGGGGCCTTTCCAGGGTGGATCCGGGGGCCGGATCCTGCATTCGGCTGGATAGGCCGATCGGCGGCAAGACTCTCCCTGAACTGCGTCCGGCAAGGATGCCGAACGGACTGCTACCCGATTGGTTTTTCAGAGACGGCCGAAGCCCTCTGTGGCACAGGTTCCCTTACCGCACATTCTTGACATCTGCTGATATTGTAATGGCCTCCGGCCAGTGCCGCCGATCCGGGGCGCTCCCGATGCGTGTGGGAACGGACGATGACGACGACGACGACCGACGACCGGATCAACGACGGACGATGATGACGACGACGTCCCTCCTCCCCCCGCTGCCCTTCCCGGTTTCTTGGACCCCCCCCTTCCCGCTTGAGCTCGCCCCCCCCTCCGTCCCCGCTCGAGCTTCCTCCTTGGACCCCCCCCCGCTTGAGTTCGACCCCCCCTTTCGTCCTCTCTCGAGCTCCCCCCCCCCCTCGATTCTTGGACCCCCCCCCGCGCTGACCTCCCCCCCCCCCCGCGCTTGAGCTCGACCCCCCCTCCGTCCCCGCTCGAGCTTCCTCCTTGGACCCCCCCCCCCGCTTGAGCTCGACCCCCCCCCCGTCCTCGCTCGAGCTCCCCCCCCCCCGATTCTTGGACCCCCCCTTCCCACGCTGACCCCCGCCCCGCTTGAGCTCGACCCCCCCCGTCCGTTCGCCCCCCCCCCCCCTCCTCGCTCGAGCTTCCCCCCCCCCCTCGATTCTTGGGCCTCCCCCCCCCCCCCCCCGCGCTGCCCCCCCCCCCTCCGCTTGAGCCCGTCCCCGCTCGAGCTTCCTCCTTGGACCCCCTCCCCCCCGCTTGAGCTCGACCTCCCCCCGTCCTCGCTCGAGCCCCCCCCCCCCTCGATTCTTGGACCCCCCCCTGCGCTGACCCCCCCCCTGCTTGAGCTCGACACCCCCCTCCGTTCGACCCCCCCCCGTCCCTCCCTCGAGCTCCCCCCCCCCTCGATTCTTGGACCCCCGCCCCCCCCCGCGCTGACCCCCCCCTCCCCCGCCTGAGCTCGACCCCCCCCTCCGTCCCCGCTCGAGCTTCCTCCTTGGCCCCCCCCCCCCGCTTGAGCTCGACCCCCCCCCCCGTCCTCGCTCGAGCTCCCCCCGTCGATTCTTGGACCCCCCCAGCGTTTTTCGCCCGATCCCCCCCCTCCCCAGAGCGAAGCTTGAGCGAGCTCAAGCCCACGCTCTCAGAAACTCACACGCCGGATCGGCGGATATAGAGCAGAGGCGGCGGGGACAGCGTCGGCAGTTGTCTGCGCCCCGCCTCCGCGCAAGCGGACGGTGCCCCGCGCCTGCCGAAGCGCCCGGGCGCATGCCCAGAATGTGGACCCCATCAAGTCGCCTGCCATCGTCCCCGAGGCCGCCCACAGGTCCTGCTCGCGATGCCACTGCTCCCACTGCGCGGAGCGGATGCTCGCCGCAATCGCGCTGCTGTGGGGCTTGCAAGCCCGAGGGCCGATGTAGTTCTTGGCGTGTTTGCGCGCCTTGTGTGTGTGTGTGTTTTGCGTGCCCGCCTTGACCTTCGCTCCCGCGACGCTCGGGAGCTTGTGCTTCGCGATCTTGGAGTGCACGGGCATGGTCCGCGCCTATTCTCCCCGCGCTTACACAGCTTCTTGCAATGCGCCACGGAGTCGTGAAACCCGCCTGAGGTCTTTATTTTGTTTCTCCTGGCGCCGTCTGAGCGAAGTGTCACCCTGCGGCCCTTGAGCGGCCAGCTGGTTTTCTTGATTGCGCCTGGGCTGGGCGCCATTTTCGTCGCGCGGCCCGAGTCCGTCCTGGACAGCACGAGCGTTCCCGGCTTGTCCCGTTGAGCAAGTCTTGCCCATTGTTCCCACTCCGTCATCTGCTTGTCCTTCGTGGCGGCGGAAGCCGCGTGCTGCTTGTGAGCCGCGTCGAGTTTGTGGGCCATGGTCCTGTCCTCGTTCATTTTGTGGTTAGTGCCGTACTCGCGTTTTTTCCTCGTCTTCGTGGTGTTTTTGCCGATGCGTGCATCGGGTGCGTTGTCCTTTTCCTGCCGCCTGTTGCCCCGCGCGCGGCCCTTCCCCCTCTTGGCGGCGGGAAGGGGCGGGGCGCCGCTGAAGGGCCCTTCGCGCAGGTGCTTTTCTCAACGCCGCCAACGGCAGCGGAGGGGCGCTTCACCGCGCGGCCAGGGGCGGCGGCAGGGCGCTTCATGTCCAAGGCGCGACTCGCACGCCCCCGGTTGAAGCGGCCGTCGCGAGCCTGACGTTCGAGCCAAATTATGCAACGGGCAGCAGCATCGGCAGAGGAAGAAACGGCAGAAGGAGGCAAGGGGGAGAGGAAGAAGCAGGAGAGGCATAATAATAGCGAGAAGGCTGGACTGAGATTCTTGTTTTTGTGGCGAATGCGGACGCCCGAAAAGGTAGTGGGTTGTGCGTCGGGGGGCACAAGTGTTTCTGATGCCTGAAGATCCACCCAAAGGATGGGCGCTCGTGCCGCCTTAGTCGAAGCTGTTCTCCACATCGCGGAGCCTCTTCTCCGCGTGTTGCAGCGTTGTCCGCGCCTGGTTCAAGGTGCCCTCGGTCTTGAGGGGCACCGGCGTTTTGTCGTTGAGTTCCTTGCTCCTCTCGTTCTATTCCTTCTTGCGCATGTGCTTATCCTCGCGGGGCGCGCGGCCCGAGACTCGCGCAGCGCGCGCGGCGTGCGGCCCGACGCGGCGTGCGACGTGACCCGCGGCGCCAGACGCGGCGCCTGAAAGCACGGCGCGGCACGCGCGTGGCAAGGCACCCGACGCGTCACGCACCAGCACGCATGCGAGATTCACATTTGGGTCTCACATTCGTGATCTAGCCAGGCCTTTTTCCACATTTTGGCCTCATACCAGCCCTCCCTATTATCGGCTGCGGGTTCCTTGCTGTAGTTTCTCACTTATTCCGCGGCCCCCATCTGCCGTTTTTAGCGCATCCTGTGGGTTTACATGCGTTTCCACGCGAAGCGACACTCGGCGAGGTACGGCGCGCGGTACTCACCGCCGCGCACGGCGGATCACCCGACAGAGCACGGCAAACGGCAAAGCATTCAACGCGACACGGCGCGACACATTTGGGAGAAGATTTGGCCCCGAATGGTCCGAAGCGCGTCCGCCTGGGTGCCGCACTCGTCTGCTGCCGCGCAGCCGCTAAGCGGCCGCGCGCGCTCCCGCCGGCGCGATTCGGCGCGTGCGCGGTTGCTGAAGGAAAGCGGCCACGCGTTTCCTCGCGGCCTTTTCTATGTTGGCGCCTAGCTTGCCTTGGTAAGCGAGGTCCCCTACTAAGGAGAACCCGTGGCTTGACCGCGTCGTGGCTGAACATTGATGAAAGTGCGTTTGAGGAGTGGATGGGATGAGAGCGAGCCCGAGGACGACGAACAAAGAGTTGATGAAATATGGGTCTGAGGAGTCAAATGACAGAATGTGGTAGGAGGTGGTTGCAAACAGACAGTGGGAAGCAGATGATGGGTAGGTCAGAGGACGAAGAAAAAGTGGGAATCGAGAGCGAACACAAGGCGAACGGTATGATACTGAGGGATTGGATGGGGGCGAGCTATTATTTGTATCTTTCGGCCCCCATTCATCCTTATCAGCCTGCACCTCTTTCTCCTCCGTCCTCGTCGACCTCCTCCTCATCCCTCCTTGTCATCCTTCCATTCATCTTGCCTTTTGCTTCCCTCCCTCTCCTCGCTTGCTCCCTCTGCATATCCCCCCCGCTGCTGGGGTCCAGGCGGCTCGCCCCGCCGACGTGCTCTCAGCCGCGGCCAGCCAGGACTGGTCGCCGTGTCTGTTCCACACTGACCGGTCCTCAGGACGGCCCCCCGCGCGCGGGGGGGTGTCGACAACCAGGATTGTTCCAGGAGCCCGATTGTGCCAAGACTGTGGGGATGGCTGCGGCGTGACGCCCGTGGTCGGAGGTAGACGTGTGTACTCTCAGGGCCCCCAAGGGCCGCCGCGATGCAGCATGCATTGAATTTGAAAGCCCCACGGGTATGTCGACGACCAGGATTGTTCCAGGAACCCGCTCGCGCTCAGTCTGTGGGGATGGCTGCGGCGCGACGCCCGTTTTCGGAAGCAGAAGGCATTGGAGCTTTGGCCACCCCCAGGGGGTGTCGACGACCCGGGTTGTTCCAGGAGCCCCCTCGCGCTCAGATTGGGGATGGATGCGGCGTGACGCCCGCTTTCTGAAGTAGATGTGTGCCTTCTCAGGGCCCCCAAGGGCCGCCGCGATGCAGCAGGCACTGAAGGTTGGCAACCCCAAGGGGGTGCCGACGACCAGGTATGTTCCAGGAGCCCGCTCGCGCTCAGACTGTGCGGATGGCGGCGGCTCTGACGCCGGCTTTCGAAAGTAGACGTGTGTCTGCTCAGGACCCCCACGGCCGCGGCGATGCAGAAGGCATTGGAGCTTTGCCACCGCGAGGGGGTGTCGACGACCCAGGTTGTTCCAGAAGCCCGCTTGCGTTCAGACTGTGGAGATGGTTGAGGCGTGACGCCCGCTTTCGGAGGCAGGCGTGTGTCTTTTCTCAGGGCCCGACGGGTGCCGCGGAGCAGCAGGCAGGGCAGTGAATTGGAATGGATGGTCGGTTGGGGCGGGAGGTGGACTTGGATTTGTTGTGCAGTCAACGCGCCCAGTAAGGACGCGTGCCTTCATCTAGGGCACCCCTGTGTTCTTGCCTGTGCCAATTCGCGTATCGGTCTCTCGGGATCGCCGCCCGCTGGAGCAGCATGTCTGCTTCGCCGTCGACGACACAAAGTGTCATTGCCTCTGCGGCCCGTCCTTGCAGTTTTCACTGGTCGCCGGCCGCCCAAAAATCCAAATTGTTCGTTGACGCTTCGCGTATTCCCACCAGCCCATCCAGAAACGATGCCCAGGGGAGTTGAGGTGATCAGGGACGTGGGGGAGCATGCAGAAGAACAAAGGGCGGAGGAAGCCGTCCGATTCCCAAAGATGGGGAGAATGGTGGTGGGGGCATTTTGGGTGAATCGGGGATCATTTTGAAGCCTCTTAGGGACCCCTTGGGAGCCTCTTGGAGGCGTCATGGGCGCCTCTTGGGGCCGTGGCGCCTCTTGGGGCATCTTGGGGCGCTCTTGGGAGCGTTTTGAGCGCTCTTGGGGCCATCTTGGAGGAGATCGATCAAGAATCAAGACAGAGGGGAACTCCAGTTAGCGTCCCCCCTCGGGGGCACCGAAAATCGCCTCCTGGACTGGAGCGCTCTTGGGACGCTCGTGGGCGCTCTTGGGGCCGTTTTGATTCTAAAGCGAGCTGAGGGACGTAAGGGGTGGAAGCGAGCGTGCGCCCGCGGCCGCGTCGGCTCAAGCGGCCGGCGCCCCAAATATGAGTGTGCCTCACTGAGAGGCACACAATCGCTAACGACACCAATCGGGATTCCTGCTGCTTGAGAAGGCACGTCTTCTCATACTGGGACTATCGTTGCTACGGTACACCAGAGCGGGAGCTTGGCTTCGCCTGAGGCGAAGCTGCGGGCTGGGCCTACCAGCCTCCACGGGACTATCTGGTGGACTACAGATATGGTGGAACATCCGTGTGCAGTGGATTTGCGCGGAGGAATGTCTATACCTACGCAGGTTCGCAAGGAAGTTTGCAGCGATACCTCTGTCCAAGCGGAGGCCTCTTACTTACATCTCACATCCCTGCGCTACTACACTCCTAAAGTCCACGCGCCTACTCCACTTGGAAATTTCTTCGAATACTTAATGCATGGAAACATGCGATACGACATACTGCTGCCCCCGACCCCACGCAGACTCACGACTAAACAACAGAAGTCCCAAACGACTACATCCGACTACGACCTACGAGGCCATTGGATTGGTGTTACTATCTTTGGGCTCACATGGGTCGCTATTGGGTGTGCGGTAGGACAGATGCGTGGCGGAGACGACACAAGAACGACCGGCCCCCATTGGGACCCTGCCGGTCAAGTACCTTTTTTTCGCGACTTCGTCCGCGAAGTACATGCCTGGATCAATGCGACCACAGACAATATGACGCCCTCCCGGCAGGCTGCAGTTTTGCAGCGAGGTTTGGGAGGTTTGTCACGGACTATCGCCACGAGAGTCCCCCCAGCAGTTATTAATTTTGGCGTCAACATGGCGTTTGCCACACCGACGACGTCACCCACACTATGTTCCTCTTAAGCACGAAATCCGCGAACCTAGAAGAGGAACGCCAACTCAACTCTGGTACGACTCTTATTGACTTTCGAGTCCATTCGGGTGAACGTATCGACCAAACGTTAGCACGGTTTCAGATATCCCGCTATGAAGCTGAAGCAGCTGGCTTCAGCATCCCCAACTTCCAAATCCTAGCAGTAAGTATATTCAGAGCTCCTGGAGTGGGGACATCGCGTGAACAACAACTCCTGCAGCCCCTGAACCACCACATGCCGAGAGACCAACAACAAGTTGACGCTCTACTTGAACGCATGAGGTCATATGATCACATAGCACAGAGAAGCCCCGGCCATATTGGTGGTATCTTGGGTCACGGCCATCGAGCCGAGACCCTCCACGTGGAGGCCAACGCAGGGCAACCTGCCAACAACGTCTGGAACGATCATCCACAGTCAACTGAGACCACTACACTGCGGGCTCAGAATGGCGGAACGGCCTCGGGGTCGCAAGACTCCCGGGCCTGACCTTGGGGGCCGCCCGACGCGGTCTTCCCCATGCAAGCCATGGCCCTAATGGGCTCAGCGGGGCAACCCGCCGAGTCCGAGTTCGACTCCGGTACCGATGCGGATGCGTCTTCATATGACGAAGCTACCGCCCTGGATTACTATGATACGCCTACATACCTTACTGAAAGCAACAAGCTCAATTGTCATTTGTAGGCCATCAAAAACAAAAGCGCCTTTGGCGGATATTCATGAAGAAACCAGTCCGAAGAGTAAGACGTATTGTACGATGATCACTTCAAGGAAAAGACAAGGGCCGAAGTAAAGGCAGAGGTAAACGTCGGCGATTACATGGCAGAGGCACACTAGCATTCTTAGCGCCTGTTACTGGACCTCAGCATGAAGAAGTGTTGTTAGGTGCTGGTAGAAGCTGCAGGCATGCATCAGGCAGAGGTAAGGGGCGGCGGGGGAACCCAGAGGATGCCAACGGCAAAACTATGCAGTGCGACATATGCCACAGTACCCAACTTCCGACTCGAATGCTCCCAAGGCGATGGAAGAGGCGCGGGTCCGTCGGTGCATTTGGCCCAAACAGACTTTGACATGCAGCGTGTTGATTGGGAGTCGCTATTAGGCGAACCTGCCGACAGCTCAGCCACAGTTTTTCACTTCATGGTTGCCAGGTATCTAAGTGCCAGCATGACCCTCGAGAACTACGCCGACGAGCTGTTCGTGGAGGCCTTTGCTGGCCACAATGACATTGATTTGGCAAAATGGCTGGGTATACCCATCGCGGAGCAACCTGCTGATATTGCGTTTGTCAAGAACTGGCACTGGCGGGGGGTCCCGCGGACCCAGAATCTACCACTCCTGCAACAGATTGGGAAGTACATGCGACGCCCTGTCCTCAGGTGATTGGAAATCGGACAGACATGGAATTAATTGATGGTGATCCTCTGCGGGGAAAACCGCGAGACGCTGGTGATCTATCTGAGCGTATTCAATATGAGCTTGGCCATAATGAAGAATTTCAATGCGCTTGCGCTGCGTCAGATCGATCCACCAGCCGCCAGAAGCGATCTCCAAGCCGCCTAGCCTGGGGGAAGAAGCGTTACCGCGATGATGACGAGTTCGACGAACGGGAAGACAGCGGCTGCGTAATACGTCGCGGCCAGGTTCCCAGCCGCTCACCAGGTCGCGCGCGAGCCTGCTCCAGCGGTGCCCGTTCTTGCGGCATTCAGCGCCCTTATCCTCCTGATGCGGGAACCCCAAAGGCCCCGCCATGGCAGGCGAATAGCCCAGATACTCCCCCAAGGAGGGGGGCGCTTGCGGGGGCGCCCGCCTCGAGATGACCAACCGCGAGGAGGAGAATGTCCAGGAGGTAGCGCGCAGCGTCTAGAGGGCTACGCGGAGGCTGGATTGGCTCGTCAGCAAATGCCCACCAGGCCAGATGGAATACTGGCTGGCGCAGGGTTGGGGTGGGCATCATATCCGGCACTGGTATTCTCTTCGCAAGGTCAAACGAGATGAGGGAGGTAAGAGCATGCGCTCGACGAGGACAGGGCCTACCAACTCACGAGGCATGATGGCCACGCGCAACGTCAAGCGGGGCATCATCGAGGAGCGAAAGCTTTACAGCAGCGTTTGTTGCTCATGCCCCGGATTTCAGGGAAAAAAAAAAGAAAAAAAAGAAAGAAAACAAGAAAACAAAACGCAGTGGGTCTGGTCTCATGGTGATGGCCGGGGTCATTGTGCCGATCCAAACACTACGCCATATAATGAGCAGCTGACGGAGAACGAGCGCGATCACGCCACGGCCGAGTAAATAGCGCACGCAAGCCTCGTTCGGAAGAACTTGGTACCTAACTAGTTGGTGCAGTTCAATCGCGATTGGCACTCAGGGTCACCTGCTGATCACAGATCAGAAGAAGAAGGCCAACGAGAAACTAGTGAAGATGAAGATGATGAGATGGCTGAAGAAATTGATCCCACGGACGCTGCCCCTGAAGTCTACGAGTCCAACGCTCGGGCATCGCGGACGTCACGCGTCGGACGGACGCCCCGATCGACCCCACGTACGTCGCCAGAGAAGATATGGATCCATCTCCTGGGAGGTGGATTGCTTACCGCGCCCAGATTATTGGCTGGAATCAATGCAAGCATAGTCGAAGGAC